ACACACACACACACACACACACACACACACACACAAAGGAAACAGGCTAATTAGTCGACAGTAAAACGACAGTACTCCACATTCAGCTCTCACGGCTGAGGGGTTTGGCAAATTCAGCTCTGGAGGGAGCAGGGAGGGCTGTTGCCTTCAATGGATATCATTCAAAAACTTAAATGCATGGCAACCAAAACAGTAGCCTGCCTTTTGTGGTCTTCTTTTTACCTTCTTTATGCAGAGAAAGCTTCTACACAACGTGCCGTGTACACTCTCTGTGTTTTATTTGTTTTTTTTAATGGGGCATTTAATGAAAGTCAGGACTGTCAGCACTCTGTAGTCTTCAAGTAGTTCTTTAAAGCTTTGGGGCTCATTATCCTGCTGCACTATGAATTCTTGCACAGCTCCAGGGAAGCAGACACCTCCACACCTCAATATCTGAACCATGCTTCACTTTTTTCTCTTTTCCTGTGGGTTATATCCACTGTGGTTTCATTAACTCCTGCTTCTCCTCTTACATAAACCCTTCCATTTCTACCACCTGGCCCATGGGCCACACTGCTGATTGTCCTTAAACTGTCTGCATGAGGTAAAATGGAAAGTTTCAGATTGCTGGACAGCACCTGGCATAACCCACACATACTGGCTAAAGAAGCTAACTGCACTCCATGAGTGACTGGCAGCACACATAAGCTAGCTGCTAATGGACAAGACACACCAGAATGGCTAATGCCATAACTAAGTGGCTGGCAGAGTGTACAGGAACATCTGTGCTGAGTACAGCCTGGAAGTCCCGAGGTCAAAATGGGAGACGCCCCCTAGGGTGGCTGCGAATGACTGTGGGACTTCCAGTTACAGACAAACTGGTGATGACTCACCAACCAGATATAGTGGGCAAGCAGAGGGTGATGGTACTGCTGCTGACAGTGGAGTTAATCTCATACATTTTGCTCCACCTGTTCCTTTTTCTCTCTTAGTTTGTCAGTTGTCAAAGGAGCTTGCAAAGAAAAGCGTCTGGACTTCTTTAAGTTACTTGAAGACGTTTCACCTCTCATCCGAGAAGCTTCTTCAGTTCTAAGGTCAAATGGTGGAGAGTCCCACCTAGTGGGAGTTTCCCCCCCACAGAGGGACAAAAGGACCCCCTGATGATCCTCTAATCGCCTGAGCCAAGGTGTGAAACTGGGTGTGGGTCCCAATCAACCAGAGTTTCGGGTGTGTTCATTGTGAAACCTGGCCCCACCTTATCATGCGAATTACTGAGGTCAGATGGCCCAGGATGTGAGTGGGCGTGAAGGCGTCTGGGGAGGGATCTCAAAACTGGATTATAGATGGCAGAGAGTTGGTGTCGTAAACCCCCGCCCTCTGTTCAAAGATGGCCGCCCACAGTGGACATAGATGCTTCTTTCACTCCTCTTTCAAACCATCTGTCCTCTCTGTCCAAAATGTGAACATTGGCATCCTCGAAAGAGTGACCTTTGACCTTTAGTTGCAGATGGACAGCTGAGTCTTGTCCTGTGGAGGTGGCTCTTCTGTGTTGTGCCATGCGCTTGTGAAGTGGCTGTTTGGGCTCTCCAATGTAGAGGTCTGGGCATTCCTCGCTGCACTGTACAGCAAACACCACGTTGTTAAGTTTGTCAGTTT